GCAGCCTTGAATTCCAAGTTCTTGTGCTTGTCCTTGCGGAGATACGGATTTGGCAAGACCTGCGGGCACAAACTGTGTTGTAGACTTAAACTTGAATCGCGCTTTGCCCAATGATGCAACAACACTGACTCATTCTGTTCTTCAAGACTTTCGCTGGGGGCTCCATCGATGAGGTCACAGCTGATCCTTTCGGAGCAGTGTCAGGCTCGGGCGAGTCACTGATGGTCACGACCAGGTTCTCGTTGGATCTCTGCTGATGATAAGTGTTGGGCCCATGCCACGCCTTCCAGTTTGAGTTGCAGTTCCTGCACAAACTCAACACTTAATTTCCTGGTTGAACATGTTCAGTTTGAGAAATGAGAGAGCAGTTGACTGATTTCGTTTTGACCTTGCAAATTGCCTTGCGTGTCAGCTGTTAGTTTGTCACTGAACCTGGCCTCCAAGCACTCTGCGGAGGCTCCTGCTGAGAGTCATGCTGGGTGTCCTGGTAGGTGTCTGGGCTATAGGAGCCCCAGGAGTCCTTTTGTCGACGCATTGTTGCTCGCTAAGCAACTGAGCAAAAACTGTTGCTTTGTAACCTGAAGTCATTCACACACACAGTAAGCCAGCCACTAGTTGGCAACAGTGCAAGACATTGTTGGAAAACCAAATGCGAGGAACTCTCAGCATAGTTACCTGGTTTCACGGGCCACGCGGTCGCTCCAAGCGTGCTGAGAACCTCATTTGAGGTATCAGACGAGCAATTGGTGCTAAACTGGAAGGATTCAGGTTCACAAATTCATCAAACTCAGCTGGGGTATGTGTACATACCCAGTTGAGTGGAGGTACTGGCGAGAATCTCTTTGAGTGATTCTGATCAAGTATTGCACAGACCGACCATCATTGGGGTGTGCTTCAAGCAAAATCTGTGCAAGCGACAGCAACTTCTTGGTCCTGTCCTGGTCAAAAGCCTTGAGAGGTCGCGGTGTTTGCGGAACACTCCCAAGGATTGCCATAAAAGCTTCAGGGAAGACGAGCATTGGATCCTCCAGCAAACAAAACACCTCAAGCTGTTCCTTATTTAACAGTTGCACGCCTGGCTGAGAACCTTGTCAGAGGCATAGCGTTTGATGCAGCAGCAAACATCATTCGAAGACGTTGGCCAACGATTCCTTCCTGGACCCTCCTCAACCACGGTCATTGTGCTCGGTATATCTGGCAGCGGCCAATCCGAAAACCAAAGACAAACCTGCGTTCAAACAAAAATGGCCAATCACAGGCAGCCTTTTCTTCTGAAGAACAGGAACGCGTGTGCCCCCGAAGAGTCATCCCTCAAGGCGCCGCTCATTCTGACAGGGGCTCTCTCCAACCTTCGGCCACTTTACAAAATAAGGCTCAAACCATCAACAGCAATCACATCTCATACTTCACTCAACACCATGCTTAACCAAAGAGCCATGTTTTCCAATTTCTGACCGTACCAATGGGCTCAACAATCACTTGAGCAGTATTGAGCCATTTCTTCAGGTTCAACTTGCCGGTCACATATTTCAACTTCCTCAGGGACACAAAAAAGTTGCTTGCTGTACACGGTACTGTCTTGTGGGATGTATGCACTTGGGAACTTAAACCGCTGTAAGACATGTGGTTGGCAGCCGAAGCTCTCGATCAAGTCCATGTCGTCGGCGAGTACATCAATGAATCGCATCGAGCGACTCAATACTCCAAAGACTTGGTCTTAGTCCAATGCAAGAGCCTGCTCCATCGATTAAACTCAAAGTCCACTCAAAACCATTAAAGACCAGGGCACCAAGTGAGCCATGTGTATGGCCCAATGTCTGGAAGACCAGGCCACTGAATTCCAGTCCTTTCTGAAGGAGAAGCCAAGGTAGAAACTTCAGAAAAGTGTTGTTCTTGTTCTCCCTCACGCAATTATCTGCCTTATGGTGGTTTGGAATGTGTTTGGTTGACCTGGCGTCTGAGACATGAGCAATATGCAAATTGTTCATTCAAAAAAACGCATCCAGGAAACCATCACCAAGATCTTCCGTCGAGGAGAGACTCCTCTCTCAGCGCAGATGGTAGCCATGGATGCGTCCGAACTTTGTCGCACATCCAGACAGTACAGGCAGAAACAAATCTGGTGGAACCAGGCCCCTTGCACTTTTGTGCGAACTCTCTCATGCTTTGCCAGTGGCTTAGTCACTATTCCGTGCCTTGCTCGAGGGAGGGACCACTTTGATTGATCCATGCCGTCCTGACAAGAAAAAGCAACCATGGACATGACACTGACAATGTTGAAGACATTCGTCTGATTGCTGTCAGAGCTCGGCAGTGATGAAGAGGGTGGCAGTGTCATCGAAAAGTGGGTTGGACTCCTTTATAGAAGTCACTTTCACTCTCATTGCTTTCACAGCTTGATCTTTTCAAGTAATAGTGACATTAAATATCATTAAATGTCACCTGTCCTGAAAATATGCTTCAAGCTGGCGGTCAGCAGATACTGCTTGCATTTGTGCTTGGTAGTGTCGGGAAATCTCAAACTTGTCCATCGGGTCCTTGGCAGGGTAGCTTGTGTTGTTCCCGAACACTCTAACAACATCTTTGAATGCAAGGTTTGGTTGAATCCTCAAATGAAGTTTTGAATGCAACGCAGTCGTCACATGCAGGAAAGTTGGTTGGTTGGCTGAATCTCAGCAAGTTTTGCCACTTCGACTTGTATCGGCGTGTGAAGTGCACAAACCTTGCCCGCAACAACAGGCCCACTGAAGGAAATTATACCATACAATTAATGCAACATGTCGCATTAATACAATGCAACAAAACAAGCTAAGGAACGACGCATCGCCTGGATACCCAGAATGAAGCATTCGCAAGTTCCCAGGCGGCATGTGTCGCGTTGGAAGTGTAGAGGTATCAGTGGCAAAGGCTGTGTCAACTATCCTCGTGATCTCCGATCACAACTAACATTGAAACAAACCTTCAACATGCAAACCACTGGAGATCAGTGGACCCATAAGATGAAGTTTGAGGTCAATATCATCCGCTATCCGCTCATGCGGAATCAACTCATCTTCATCAATTGCCAGATCGGGCTCACCTGGTGTGTTGGGGATGGTATTTGTGTGGAACAGCGGCGGGCAAAGCTTCCAGGTCGCGATGGTTGCAGCCTAGGTACTGGTGTCATCATCATGTGTGCTAGGTCCAAATGCCACACTCACTATCTGGCTCTCTTGGCCTTTGGCCTGCTTGGCAGTGCGTACGCGAGCAGCGCGTTGAAACCTGAAATCAAGATTTGCTTGCGCTGCAGACCCAATACTTTCAATGAGCAACCCTCCCCAAAAGAAAAGGCGAGCAACCTTGTAGGCAACATCCCTGCTTGCTGGATGTAGATCTTGAGGAAAAACTTATCCACGCTCATGTACTTGAGTGGATGCCGCTTTTTTCCTCAAAACAAGCCAGCCCTCAGAGTTTCAACCAACACTGACTCTAGTGAGTTTGAACGGTTGCAAGGCCGAGGTTCACCCCCAAAGCAAGCATAACGGCGGTCCACTACACCATCCCCAGCTGTTTTCATTCGATCAACCCGGATACCCCACACGGATGTGATGCATCTCGCAGACATCGATATGCCAAGAAAGGTACAGCAACGATGTCCAGCTTGAGTACCATTGACGATGTGAAAGATCTCAGCTGTCTAAACTTAAATGTTGTCAAGAGACTCACAAGGGTTCTGGTATAGGACATTGAACCCTGACATTGAACTGCAAAGGATTGAGGTCGTGACGTAGGAATCTTGTTGTGCTTTTTCCATGCTCCAAAAGGAATCCAGATATTGGATGATCTCGGGCTCTTTTACTTTGATCTTCTCAAAACAATCTAGGCGATCACATCGGCACTGATTGCTCGAAATCAGCTGTTTCACCCTCTCCACAGAGCGCCCATTGTCGCTGTGCCTTTGAAAAGGCATGCAGTACCGCAGGGTTTGGGGCTATGGAAACATAGCCGCATGCAACAAAAAGAGAACACAGTCATTCAAGCAAAGACTAGAAACAAAATCCTGTCACTGGGTTGGGCATAGAACTTCCGCTTCGAACTATTGTAGTCTGGTCGTTTCTCTGGGACCGGTTTTTCCTTCTTGAAAGTTTTCCCAGCCCAGGGTTTTCATTTAAATTAAGGAGGTTGAACTCGATGACTTTGGTTGATTGTCTTGGGGGCCTGAGCTTCTTTCAAAAACGCAAAGTAGGACCTTCTCGAATCCAAAGCGTCTGAAGAAGCAGCAGGTGGCGCAGGGACAACATCAGACGGATCTCTCAGGAACCTCGCCGTAAAGCCATGATCCTCTTCACGGCTACAGGGCCGAGCTTGTTCCTGAAACCTCCACTCCACCCACCTCAAATACAACGAAACCATCCTCAATGAAAACGAAAACGACTTATATACAGTCAGACATTCCCAAGCATTTGCGCCTCACCTTTCTCTCCTTCGCGGCTGGGTCTGAGGCCAAAGATGCCCTGGAGATGCTGGAGGCCCGTCGCAGTCCCAGGGTCCAGCACCAAGCTGTCTCGTGAAGATTCGGTGAAGATGACGGAGCTAGGGCAGCTAGGGCTCAAAGGACTGGACACATTGCCAAAGCCGTAGCTGCTTCGAGAACGAGCCTGAGCCCAGAGCACCAGAGCTTGCTGAGTCCGGCCTCCAAGGACTTTTGGCCACCACATTGCTGGGAACTGGCTTCTTGCCGTGCTCCCCAGGTTGAGGGTTGGCTTCACAGTTGCAAAAGCACTCGTTGGCCACACACGTGGTTTTGCAGCAGTGCGCCTGTTTGGCCACAGAGCTCTTTGTGTTTGGCTCAGGGTACTGGCGTGCAGTAGAACATGGATGTTGATTCTTGGAGTTGGGACAGGCATGGTATGTTGTAATGTAAGTGCAGCTAAGACCTTGGAGGTGATCATTCCGCTTCCCTGGAGGTTTAGTCATTGTTTTGACATGTTTTTGCCAGCGCTGGCAATCCAAGCATTTTTCGACGGGCCCCTTTAGAGCGGCATCAAAGGCCCCTAATACGGGGGCTGCAAATGCTCATGCGGCCATGCGTGAAGTGCTGGAAAGGCTCAGCTGACAATGCATGCCACCGATGGTAGAGAGAGGGCGAAGGGACAGAGAGAGAGAGAGAGTGAGTGAGTGAGCGAGCGCAGGCTATGCAGATTGACTTGCTTCTTTGTTTAAGCCTTATTCAGAAGACATGCGTAGTATGACGCTGTTTGAGGTGCTCGTGCATTTTCCAGTGGTGTCAATTTGCTCCACGAAGGCCGCTATGGCTTTGGGTTAGATCAGGGAAGGTGGTGGAAGAGTAAACCATCCAGTGCAAAAAGAGAATGCGGTGAGTTTGTCAGTCCTTGGATTCTAAGCAGGCTGGAAGAAAATGCGCCCAAACCAGCCCATAACTTATATAGTTATAACTTTTTTTTGGGCTGACACCCATTTTGGGAAGATTTGACCTGACCTATCACAGTCAAACTCGCAGGAAAGGGCTCAGATGGTCATGTGGCGCTTTGACCTCGGTTTCGGCATGAGGCCTTCGTCTTCAGCACTTGGGCGACTGGGCCGCGGCGCTCAGCGCCTTCCGCGGTGCAGCCCAAAACTCACCGATGCTGGGGGCGGCCGCCAATAACGTGCCTGGGTGGAGGAAGGAGCAGCAATTGAGAGGTTAAATGGTTGAATGACTTGAGTCTGACAGAAGCCTTTTGGACTTTCCATCTCCTTTGGTGGACCCCTTGTAGGAAAATGAAGATGCAGTCTGCAAGGGGTGCCTGCCAATCATGAGCCATGACGACCCCAAGAAGTGAATCCCAGGCAGAGGGCCTCTTACTCCTCCGGAGCAGTGTGCCCGTGGCGCATGGGACTCGGGAGTTACAGCGAGGCGCCGGGCGACGGATACGGCAGGTCATGTCGTAGCTTTTTCAGCAGGCGACGTCCTCCTGGCACCCTGGGCTGAAGATGGTTTCGACTATGAAGCCATCCTGGAGGAGATGGATGAGGTGGGATACTTGATTCAACTTGCTGCCTTGTTTGGGCCTAGTTGATTGGATGTCACGGTTGCAGCTCTCTTGTTTCTGACGAACGCCCCGAGAGCGAGAGAGAGAGAGGGGGACACATATCCAGGCCAGCAACACCTGCACTGTGGCGTGGTCCGATGGTGGTCAGACTTGTCGAGTAGTGCCTTGGGCCAAGCGAGTCAAGCTCGTTCCAGTTTCTCTCTCCTTTATATACAGTTTTTGATTATGTCATCGATTGACCACGACGTTTGGTGTTGTTTTTTCTATTTAGCTCATGTTAGCTCATTGTTCATCCGGCTGACGAATGTATTGAACGAATGGTGCGAGCATCATCCCCACAAGATCATGTCTTTGAAGACGGCTTGGCCACGCTTGGCCTACGAGGTTCCCCGCGCGGCGGTCACGACTCTACAGGGCTTGTCACATCGGGATGACAGGGCGACAAGGCTTTGGGCATCTAGGCAGGGGATAGGAGGGGCTGGGAGAGGTCGTTTGCTTTTTGGTTCAGCTTGGGGGTCTTCAAGTGCTTATAGCCTGCTTGCTGCTTCCTCTGAAGTTCCGCTATGTGCGCGCAAGATGGGATGAACCGGTAATCTGATCATTTTGCCGCATTTGTTTGAGTAAGGTTCATCCGGTTTTTGCAGCATCAAGGGGTCGGATCTGTTTTTCTCTCATTCAGGCGTGCCCTGCGGCGGGCACTGCTGGACTGGCAAGGCCAAGCAGAGGCCGGAGTCGCACATGATGCCTTCGTTGACTTCGCAGGCGGGACGGAGCTGTAAGTGTTAGCAGCGCACCGAGTCGCATCGGACCAGGTCTTGTTTGCGACTTGGCAGCTGCGGAAATTCGCGTTGCGCTCATTTCCTCCTGGCCCGGCTTGGAGCTGGCGCCGCCTGGCCACTGTGGTGAGCTTTTTGTAAGACGTTTCGTACACGAGCATCCTTGAAGAGACATGACCTGTCAGAACAAGCTTGCACTTTGCGCCCAAAGCTACCTTCTGTGAGTGTCAGGCAGAATTTGTTGAAACGCGGCAGCTTCACTGCCGAGCGGGCGTATGCACCGGACCCCCGTGCTTTGGCCGCGCTCTATTCCACCCGAGCAGAGGTGCTACGCTTCAACTCAGGCACCGGACGAAGCTGCGACGCGTGGCGACCACCCCAACTGTCCAAGCAACTGTTCATTCATGTTCTTGAATCGAACCTTTCCCAGCACCCAAGTCCACCCCAAAACCAGCCCAAATGTCACAGCGCCAACATTCTGCATTTGTATTTCTTTTAATGTATGAGTCTTACTAGCTGTGCTTACCATCCCATCTCAACAAATGGATGGTTCGAGAATGTTCGAGATCTCGCAGGTGCCAACTTGCGAGAGGTGCAGCTTCTGCATTTGCGCGTAGCTGACCACCTACGTGCTGCAAGTTGGCGTGACAAGGCGCCTCGCAGATGAGTTGAAGTTGGAGTGGATGGAGTGGATGGGTCACTCAGCCAATCTGTTTATTCCGTGCCAGCCGCGCTGGGAGAGTCCTGCTGGCCACCTTGGATGGGAGATTCTCCACGAGGCCCGCAGAATCCAATCCTTTGCGAATCACCGTTTTGTTTGGCTTCATGCAGGTGCAATGGGCCAAAGCATTAGCCCAGATGGCATGGAGTGAGCAGGCGCAGCCCCGTGGCTTGTTTGGCATCAGAACCAGTGCCGAGGCCCATAGGTCAGCGACTCAAGCTTAGCTCGCTGAGGTTCCCGACCAAATGCTTCGACCAAGCGGCGGAAAGCGCAAGTGCCAGCAACAGCAAGCGTATGGGCACTGCCGGACATGGGATGCGGATTCGATGGTCGAGCATTGAAGTGACATGTTTGGTGCTATTGTGAGGGAAGCCGCGGGAAGCCTTTAAAACTTGGCCTCCTAAGTTCAATATAGACTACTAGCTCCGGGCATCGCTACTAGGAGCAAGAAGCTATTAGTAGCCAGGACACAGACGGATTTTGAGTCGATCACAGTGGGATTGGGATTTGAAGTCTCGAAGGTGGACAGAAGGGCGTGTGGCCGTGTCCATCTTTCAGGAGAAGCTGCTCCCGCCCACCCCGGGTCTCCCTCGGGGTCCTGACCTGCTTCTACACCACAGCTGTGCGCTGCAGAGTGTCGGCAGAGCCTGGCGCGCCTTGCACTGGGCAGCCCATAGAGGTTCGCTCCAGAAGGGGTGCAAGTCATCTAGGGATGTCTAGGGCCTAGGGACTAGGGTTGGGCATGGTTCGGGCAGATTCTTTTATGATGTTAGCGAATGCGGATGATTTTCAATTGAAAGAAACGAAGAACAGATGAAGTCTGTGGGACGAGCGCCTGGCTCTTGTGTTGCACGTTACGTGCGATTTGGACGCCCTCACCATAATTACAAGCGGGTAGCATGAGTATGTGCCTACGTGTTGGACACACCAGACAGATGTTTTCTTGCAGCACACACCCTGAGATGCGCCAAAGAGCCTTCCTTGGACCTACAGTGCTGATGCTTGGCACTGCTTGGCTAACTTGGAGAGTTGCATTCCGTCGAAGATGCGCCGCATCGGCGGCCTTTTCGGGGGGAACTTGAAAGAGGACAACGTTCATCCAAGGAGGAATGTTTTCTAAGGAGTCAGTGCGGGACTTCGTGGCTACACTGCCTGTGACAGCCGTGCATGTGAGGCTGCTGCTGGAGGTGGGGCGCAGGGAAACAGCAGCATGAAGGCGGTTGTAAGACAGGTTGTGCAAATTTGGGTATCTGAAAGCAGCATGGAGATCCCTCAAAAGGACCGGCATCTATTTGTTTGGGAATTGGTTGGCAAACTTTGGGACACTACCAAACCCTCCAGTCCTCAGGTGGCAATTCTGGTTTTCGTGATCGGCTGCAGGCCAGGCCCGTTCGAAGTCGTAGCTTCACGTGGTTGGCTGAAACATGGGGTGCCACCCCAAACCCCGATATATTACGATATATGTATATATATATACCCGATATAGAATATACAATTAGAATATATAGTATATATTTAGTACATGTCTGCATATATCATGTCTCATTGTATATGTAGGGTCTGTCCTATTACCTGTAGAAGTCAGTAAACAATTATTCCCCACCTGCCAGGTGAGGGTTGTTAGATTTTATCCCAGTTGTTCTTCCTCTTGCTTCCTTCCTCGCCAATCTTCATCGCCAATCTGCTTCGCCAATCTGCTTCGCCGATCTTGTCTGGCCAGCTCCGGATCGCAGTGCACACCCCTGGACCTCAACCGCAAGGATCCCCTCGCAGTGTGCACCCCTGGACCTCAACCGCAAGGATCCGATCGCAGTGTGCATCCCTGGACCTCAACCGCAAGGATCCGATCGCAGCGTGCACGCCTGGACCTCAACCGCAAGGATCCGATCGCAGTGTGCACGCCTGGACCTCAACCGCAAGGATCCGATCGCAGTGTGCACCGCTGGACCTCAACC